GCATCTGCCTGATTGACCCCCTCCATCTCCTAAATGCATCTGCCTGATTGACCCCTTCCATCTCCTAAATGCATCTGCCTGATTGGTCCCTTCCATCTCCTAAATGCATCTGCCTGATTGACCCCTTCCATCTCCTAAATGCATCTGCCTGATTGACCCCTTCCATCTCCTAAATGCATCTGCCTGATTGACCCCTTCCATCTCCTAAATGCATCTGCCTGATTGACCCCTTCCATCTATTAAATATATCTGCCTGATTGATCCCTTCCATCTCCTAAATGCATCTACCTAATTGACCCCTTCCATCTCCTAAATGCATCTGCCTGATTGACCGCTTCCATCTCCTAAATGCATCTGCCTGATTGACCCCTTCCATCTCCTAAATGCATCTGGCTGATTGACCCCTTCCATCTCCTAAATGCATCTGCCTGATTGACCCCTTCCATCTCCTAAATACATCTGCCTGATTGATCCCTTCCATCTCCTAAATGCATCTGCCTGATTGATCCCTTCCATCTCCTAAATGCATCTGCCTGATTGATCCCTTCCCTCTATTAAATACATCTGCCTGATTGGTCCCTTCCATCTCCTAAATGCATCTACCTAATTGACCCCTTCCATCTCCTAAATGCATCTGCCTGATTGACCCCTTCCATCTCCTAAATGCATCTGCCTGATTGATCCCTTCCTTCTCCTAAATGCATCTGCCTGATTGATCCCTTCCATCTCCTAAATGCATCTGCCTGATTGACCGCTTCCATCTCCTAAATGCATCTGCCTGATTGGTCCCTTCCATCTCCTAAATGCATCTACCTAATTGATCCCTTCCATCTCCTAAATGCATCTGCCTGATTGATCCCTTCCATCTCCTAAATGCATCTGCCTGATTGATCCCTTCCCTCTATTAAATACATCTGCCTGATTGGTCCCTTCCATCTCCTAAATGCATCTACCTAATTGACCCCTTCCATCTCCTAAATGCATCTGCCTGATTGATCCCTTCCCTCTATTAAATACATCTGCCTGATTGGTCCCTTCCATATCCTAAATGCATCTACCTAATTGACCCCTTCCATCTCCTAAATGCATCTGCCTGATTGACCCCTTCTATCTCCTAAATGCATCTGCCTGATTGATCCCTTCCTTCTCCTAAATGCATCTGCCTGATTGATCCCTTCCATCTCCTAAATGCATCTGCCTGATTGACCCCTTCCATCTCCTAAATGCATCTGCCTGATTGACCCGTTCCATCTCCTAAATGCATCTGCCTGATTGACCCCTTCCATCTCCTAAATGCATCTGTCTGATTGACCCCTTCCATCTCCTAAATGCATCTGCCTGATTGACACCTTCCATCTCCTAAATGCATCTGCCTGATTGGTCCCTTCCATCTCCTAAATGCATCTGCCTGATTGGTCCCTTCCATCTCCTAAATGCATCTGCCTGATTGATCCCTTCCATCTATTAAATACATCTGCCTGATTGATCCCTTACATCTCCTAAATGCATCTGCCTGATTGATCCCTTCCATATCTCCCTGCTCTCCTTCATGCATTATTACCTGTTTAAATCTCCTTACTAGTTTGCCTGGCTGACACAGCTTGTTCTGGTCAGGATATGTAAAGTGTATATGAAACAAAATGCTTTTATGTTTGAGCCAGGTAGCCAGGCAGCCAGGTACAGTTATGTCCCACATGGCACCCTGTGGGTCCTGGTCAAAGGTAGTGCACTGTGAGAGCAGAGTGTTGCTGCTGGAGTCATTATGGTCAGAGTTGCCAGGCTGCCAGTCATTATGGTCAGAGTTGCCAGGCTGCCAGTCATTATGGTCAGAGTTGCCAGGCTGCCAGTCATTATGGTCAGTTGCCAGGCTGCCAGTCATTATGTTCAGAGTTGCCAGGCTGCCAGTCATTATGGTCAGAGTTGCCAGGCTGCCAGTCATTATGTTCAGAGTTGCCAGGCTTCCAGGCTTCCAGTCAAGCAATCCTGAGCATAGCCTCAGGAACTACAGAACTGGAAGTCAATCCAGCATGGCCTCAGGAACTATAGAACTGGAAGTCAATCCAGCATGGCCTCAGGAACTATAGAACTGGAAGTCAATCCAGCATGGCCTCAGGAACTACAGAACTGGAAGTCAATCCAGCATGGCCTCAGGAACTATAGAACTGGAAGTCAATCCAGCATGGCCTCAGGAACTATAGAACTGGAAGATAATCCAGCATGGCCTCAGGAACTACAGAACTGGAAGTCAATCCAGCATGACCTCAGGAACTACAGAACTGGAAATTAATCCAGCATGACCTCAGGAACTACAGAACTGGAAATTAATCCAGCATGACCTCAGGAACTACAGAACTGGAAGTCAATCCAGCATGGCCTCAGGAACTACAGAACTGGAAGTTAATCCAGCATGGCCTCAGGAACTACAGAACTGGGAGACATTTGAAACAGCTGGTGCATATTTACAGTGAACGCTGTCTCTCATGCATATTCTCTCTTAATCTCTCTCTTTCTCTCAATCTTGATTACTCTCTCTTTGCCTCTCTCTCTCTCCACCCCTCTCTCTTTGTTTGCATTTCTGTTTCTCTCTCTCTCCACCCGTCTCTCTCTCTCCGCCGTCTCTCTCTCTCCCCCCGTCTCTCTCTCTCCCCCCGTCTCTCTCTCTCTCCCCCTCCCTCTCTTTCTTCCATCAAATTGCCCTTGGAGCATAGAGGATACCAGCACAGCATGTTTGATGATGCTCAATCTGTAAAACTGCATATAAACACCTTTGGTCTCACCACGAGTATAAATATTTACATACAGTGTTTTTTATTCTGTTGCATTACAACCTGTAATTTAAATGGATTTTTATTTGGATTTCATGTAATGGACATACACAAAATAGTCCAAATTGGTGAAGTGAAATGAAAAAAAAAAACTTGTAAAAAAATTATACAAAATAAATAACGGGAAAGTTGTGCATGCATATGTATTCACCCCCTTTGCTATGAAGCCCCTAAATAATATCTGGTGCAACCAATTACCTTTAGAAGTCACATAATTAGTTAAATAAAGTCCACCTGTGTGCAAAATAAGTGTCACATGATCTCAGTATATATACACCTGTTCTGAAAGGCCCCAGAGTCTGCAACACCACTAAGCAAGGGGCACCACCAAGCAAGCGGCACCATGAAGACCAAGGAGCTCTCCAAACAGGTCAGGGACAAAGTTATGGAGAAGTACAGATCAGTGTTGGGTTATAAAAAAATATCCAAAACTTTGAACATCCCACTGAGCACCATTAAATCCATTATTAAAAAATGGAAAGAATATGGCACCACAACAAACCTGCCAAGAGAGGGCCGCCCACCAAAACTCACGGACCAGGCAAGGAGGGCATTAATCAGAGAGGCAACAAAGAGACCAAAGATAACCCTGAAGGAGCTGCAAAGCTCCACAGCGGAGATTGGAGTATCTGTCCATAGGACCACTTCAAGCCGTACACTCCACAGAGCTGGGCTTTACGGAAGAGTGGCCAGAAAAAAAGCATTGCTTAAAGAAAAAAATTAGCAAACACGTTTGGTGTTCGCCAAAAGGCATGTGGGAGACTCCCCAAATATATGGGAGAAGGTACTCTGGTCAGATGAGACTAAAATTGAGCTTTTTGGCCATCAAGGAAAACGCTATGTCTGGCGCAAACCCAAAACCTCTCATCACCCCCGAGAACACCATCCCCACAGTGAAGCATGGTGGTGGCAGCATCATGCTGTGGGGATGTTTTTCATCGACAGGGACTGGGAAACTGGTCAAAATTGAAGGAATGATGGATGGCGCTAAATACAGGGAAATTCTTGGGGGAAATCTGTTTCAGTCTTCCAAAGATTTGAGACTGGGACAGAGGTTCACCTTCCAGCAGGACAATGACCCTAAGCATACTGCTAAAGCAATACTCAAGTGGTTTAAGGGGAAACATTTAAATGTATTGGAATGGCCTAGTCAAAGCCCAGACATCAATCCAATTAAGAATCTGTAATATGACTTAAAGATTGCTGTACACCAGCGGAACCCATCCAACTTGAAGGAGCTGAAGCAGTTTTGCCTTGAAGAATGGGCAAAAATCACAGTGGTTAGATATGCCAAGCTTATAGAGACATACCCCAAGAGACTTGCAGCTGTAATTGCTGCAAAATGTGGCTCTACAAAGTATTGACTTCGGGGGGGGTGAATAGTTATGCACGCTCAGGGTTTCTGTTTTTTTTGGTCTTATTTCTTGTTTGTTTCACAATAAAAAAGATTTTGCATCTTCAAAGTGGTAGGCATGTTGTGTAAATCAAATGATACAAACCCCCCCAAAAAATCTATTTTAATTCCAGGTTGTAAGGCAACAAAATAGGAAAAATGCCAAGGAGGTGTGAATACTTTCGCAAGCCACTGTACCTGACTCACACACAACATGGAATAAAGAGATGGATGTGTCTGAATATCAGAGTTTAGACCAGAGATACCGTATCTTTAGAAATATCCCCAGGCAATAGACAGGAAGGCATGCCAGAGGAGGAGGAAGAGAGGAGGGTTGCATCCGAGGAGGAGGAAGAGAGGAGGGTTGCATCCGAGGAGGAGGAAGAGAGGAGGGTTGCATCTAAAATGGCGCCCTATTCTCTAATTGGTAGAGCACGGCGCTTGTAACGCCAGGGGTAGTGGGTTCGATCCCCGGGACCACCCATACGTAAAAATGTATGCACACATGACTGTAAGTCGCTTTGGATAAAAGCGTCTGCTAAATGGCATATTACTTTTGACCAGGGCCATAGGGTGCCATTTGGAACGCAGACGAGGCGAGACTGAAGTGTAAATAAAGTGTTTTCTTTCTCACCATCAAGGTCGTTCTCTGGCGTCTCGGCGGTAAACCACTCGCTGGCTGGGCCGGTGCCGTTAGCTGTCATGGCTGCCACCTGGAAGCTGTACTGACTGCCTTTCTCCAGGCCTGAGGAAAAGACGGGAAACAGCGGCTTGTTAAAACCCACTGAAGAGTAGGAACATCCATCACACCACACACATACAACAGCCTGAATAGTTGTGGGTTCAATCCCCACACAACATCCTTTTCCCCTCTCACCACAGTACAGCGTCAGATCAACAGGTTAGCGATGTCCCTTTGTGTCCTTTCATTTTGAACCTGTCGAAACATCTCTTGTTTTCATGTTTAATTGAGCTACGTGGGCAGTAGCTGTAGCTTTCAATCTACCTTAATCCACCAAAAACGTATGTGTGTTCGTTGTTAGTGGCAGTATCTGGACAGTATGTCTTTCAAAAGCTGAATATTCTTCACTGCATGACAGGACTCAGAGGTGAGTTACTGACGTCATCGCTATCCTCTTCAGATTATCATCATTATATTATTGTCTTCTACTTAGAGACAAAAAAAACCCCCAGCTCTTATTATTGCAGACAGACAGACAGACAGCCCTGACAAACCCAGGAGGAGAGTATTGGCCTGCATCCCAAATGGCACCCTAGTCCCTATATAGTGCACTAATTGTGACCTGGGCCCTGGTCAAAAGTAGTGCACTATATAAGGAATAGGGTGGCATTTTGGACGCAAGACAAGGATTAGAACAGGGCACAAGCTCGCCTGTGTGAAATGAATTTCCTCTAAGACCGGGGACCAATTTGAGATATTCATCAGTGAGATAATGAAAAGGAATATCATTTTCATCCAAACTCAGCATTTAAATTGAAATAATAGCTTATGGCAGTAAAATAAAACACCTAGCTGTCTCTGTTGTGGTGTGTGGAGCTAACCCCTCCCCCAACACTGCTGAGGCCAAGCCCGTTTGTCTCTGCCTCAAGACGCAGCCGCTTTCAACTATTCGTTTTTTAAAATTATTTTCACTTGAGGCTCCCATTGAGAGAGCACGGCTGTGTCCCAAAGGAAACACTATTCCCTATATGTTGCACTACTTTTGACCAGTGCCTGCATAGACGTCTAGTTCCCTATCTGGCGCTTTCACAACTTATTGAAATAACGTAAAGGCAAATATAAATCATTGATCAAACCATCAAGTATGCATGAAAAAAAAAACTGTAGTAAATAGCTATTAAAATACGCAGCCTGTGTGCACAAGGTATCAAGAGAAAACACATTCATTCTGACTGGTGGTTATATAAACTGAGTATACCAAATATCAGGAACACCTTCCTAACATCAGGAACACCTTTCTAACACAGGAACACCTTCCTAACATCAGGAACACCTTCCTAACACAGGAACACCTTCCTAACACAGGAACAACTTCCTAACACAGGAACACCTTCCTAACATCAGGAACACCTTCCTAACATCAGGAACATCTTCCTAACATCAGGAACACCTTCCTAATATCAGGACCACCTTCCTAACACAGGAACACCTTCCTAACATCAGGAACACCTTCCTAACACAGGAACACCTTCCTAACATAAGGACCACCTTCCTAACATCAGGACCACCTTCCTAACATCAGGACCAACTTCCTAACACAGGAACACCTTCCTAACACAGGAACACCTTCCTAACACAGGAACACCTTCCTAACACAGGAACACCTTCCTAACATCAAATCAAATCAAATGTTAGTTGTCACATGCGCCGAATACAACAGGTGTAGACCTTACAGTGAAATGCTTACTTACAAAAGGGGGGCGGGGGTGATTAGATGTTCAGGAGTCTTATGGCTTGACGGTAAAGCTGTTTAAAAGCCTCTTGGACCTAGACTTGGTGCTCCGGTACCACTTGCCATGCGGTAGCAGAGAGAACAGTCTATGACTAGAGTGGCTGGAGTCTTTGACACCGCCTGGTATAGAGGTGCTAGATGGCAGTAAGCTTAGCCGCAGTGATGTATTGGGCCGTACGCACTACCATCTGTAGTGCCTTGCGGTCGGAGGCCGAGCAGTTGCCATACCAGGCAGTGATGCAACCAGTCAGGATGCTCTCGATGGTGCAGCTGTAGAACCTTTTGAGGATCTGAGGACCCATGCCAAATCTTTTCAGTCTCCTTAGGGTGAATAGGATTTGTCGTGCCCTCTTCACAGCTGTCTTGGTGTGCTTGGACCATGTTAGTTTTGTTGGTGATGTGGGTGTTCTTAACTTTTTTTTTTACATAATATTTCCACCATAATTTCCTATGACCGAAAACAGATTCTGGACATCAGAACAGCGATCAGCTGTTCTGGCTGTTCCGGACGACTGTGCTGTTCCGGACGACTAGCTGTTCCGGACGACTGTGTGATCTCGCTCTCCGTAGCCTTTAAAAGGATAACATCACAATGCTGCGGGCCAGATGGATTACCAGGACATGTACTCAAGAGCATGCGCTGACCATCTGGCAAGTGTCTTCACTGATATTTTCAACATTTCCCTGACCCAGTCTAAAGTCTAAATGACTATCGCCCCGTAGCACTCACATCTGTAGCCATGAAATACTTTGAAAGGCTGGTCTTGGCTTACTTCAATACCATCTCCCAGACACCCTGGCCCCACTCCAATTCGCATACTGCCCCAACAGATCCACAGATGACGCAATCTCTATTGCACTCCACACTGCCCTCTCCCACCTGGACAAGAGGAACACATATGTGAGAATGCTATTCATTGACTATAGTGCCCTCCAAGATCATCACTAAGCTCAGGAACCTAGGACTAAACTCCTTCCTACGCAACTGGATCCCGGACTTCCTGAAGGGACGCCCCCAGGTGGTGAGGGTAGGGCAACAACACATCTGCCACACTGACCCTCAACACGGGGGCCCCTCAGGGGTGCGTGCTTAGTCCCCTCCTGTACTCCCTGTTAATATACGACTGAGTGGCCACGCACGATTCATTAAGGTTGCTGATATACATGATGGTGGTTGGCCTGATCACCAACGACGATGAGACAGCCAATGGGGAAGAGGTCAGAGACCTGGCAGTGTGTTGCCAGGACAACAACCTCTACCTCAATGTCAGCAAGACAAAGGAGCTGATCGTGGACTACAGGAAACGGAGGGCCGAGCACGCCCCCGTCCACATCGACTGGGCGGGTCGAAAGCTTAAAGTTCCTTGGTGAGCACGTCACTAAGGAATCATCATGGTCCACACACACCAACACAGTCGTGTTCTACAGAAGTTCTACAGTTGCACCATCGAGAGCATCTTGACAGGATGCATCACCGCTTGTTATGGCAACTGCTTGGCATGTTACCGCAAGGCGCTACAGAGGGTAGTCCGTACGGCCCAGTACATCACTGGGGTCAAAATCAATTTCTAACATTTTTGACATGCGTTTTTCTGGATTTTTGTTGTTGTTATTCTGTCTCTCACTGTTCAAATAAACCTACCATTAAAATTATAGACTGATCATTTATTTGTCAGTGGGCAAACGTACAAAATCAGCAGGGGATCAAATACTTTTTTCCCTCACTGTATATGTACATAGCTACCTCCATTACCTCGTACCCCTGCACATCGACTCGGTACTGGTACCCCTTGTACTGTAGTGTATATAGCCAAGTTATCGTTACTCGTTGTGTATCTATTATTACTAATATTATTACGTGTTTTACTTTTCTGTTATTTCTCTATTTTCTTTCTCTCTGCTTTGTTGGGAAGGGCCCGTCAGTAAGCATTTCACTGTTAGTCTACACCTGTTGTTTACCAAGCATGTGACAAATAACACGTGATTTTACTGATTTGATTTGAACAGGTACAGTGCCTTCAGAAAGTATTCACACAACCTTTGACTTTTTCCACACTTTGTTGTGTTACAACCTGAATTTAAAATGGATGACATTGACATTTTGTGTCACTGGCCTACACACAATACCCCATAATGTCAACGTGGAAATATGTTTTTTAGACATTTTTACAAATTAATAAAAAATGAAAAGCTGAAATGTCTTGATTTGGTAAGTAACCAACCCCTTTGTTATGGCAAGCCTAAATACGTTCAGGAGTAAAAATGTGCGTAACAAATCACACAATAAATTGCATGGACTCACTCTTTGTGCAATAATAGTGTTTAACATAATCTTTGAATGACTACCTCATCTCTGCACCACACACATACAATTATCTGTAAGGTCCCTCAGTTGAGCAGTGAGTTTCAAACACAGATTCAAGCACAAAGACCAGGGAGGTTTTCCAATGCCTCACAAAGAAGGGCACCTATTGGTAGATTTAACAACAAAAAAAAGTTATTAATTACACTTTGGATCAACAGCATTGTAGTTACTCCACAATACTATTAGTATAACTGCAAACAATGGTGGTGGCTGCATCATGTTATGGGTATGCTTGTCATCGATAAGGACTAGGGGAGTTTTATAGGATAAAAAGAAACGGAATAGAGCTAAGCACAAGCAAAATCCTAGAGGAAAACCTGGTTCAGTCTGCTTTCCAACAGACACTGTGAGACAAATTAACCTTTCAGCAGGATAATAACCTAAAACACAAGACCAAGATGACATTGAATGTTCCTGAGTGGCCTAGTTACAGTTTTTACTTAAATCGGCTTGAATATCTTTGGCAAGACTTCAAAATGGCTGTCTAGCAATGATCAACAACAAACTTGACAGAGCTTGAAGAATTTTTAAAAGAATAATGTGCAAATATTGTACAATCCAGGGGCCTTATTTGTTCAATCATGCATAGGCACAAATCTGTGCGTACATCATGTGTAGGATAATTTCCACGCAAAGTGTGAGATTTATCAATATGAATGTTTGCTTGAGAGTGTGATGAAATGTACACACAGCCATGACCATGTGTACTCACAGTGCCAAGTGGTGGAATAAGGGGACTGCTTGTCAAATGTAGAATGGGCAAAATATATGTTGAAAATGTGTGGAATTGTGAGAGTTGGCCATATAACTAAATCATTTTTTGATGTAATTGTATTTCCATTGTGAATTCATTTAACATACAGTATCTTGACAGGCTATATATCATTTGACCACATCAGTGCATTTGTTACAATAATAATCCATATAAAGTACAGTAATTTGT